GCCACGCTGTCGTCTAGTGTTTTTATCCATGTGCGGGTGCCGTATCAGTTTTTGAAGCAAAACTAGTTCTTCAATCTCTCCGTTCCGTTATGAGAACAAATCTCCAAACTTTGCAGCATTCTGTTGTTCAATGTTCTTGGAACCTTGCCTGGGCAACTGTTCTTGGACACGTTGCTTGACACTTGTTTATCGGAACCTTGCTTGGGAACCTTGTCTTGGGAGCCTTGCTTGGGAACCTGTTCTTGGGAGCCTATTCTTAGGAACCTGCTCTTGGGAGCATTGCCTGGTAACCTGTTCTTGGGAACTCTCTCTTGGGAACCTGTTCTTGGAAACTTTGCCTGCTTGCTTCAAACCTGTTCATTGGGACCTTGCTCGGGAACCTGTTTTTCGTAACTTTGCTTGGGAACCTTGTTTAGGAACCTGTCCTTCGGAACCTTGCTTGGGATTCTGCTCTTGCTTGCAGATGTTCTTAGAAATTTCGCTTTGCAAGTTGTTCTTGGAAAGCTGTTCCTGGGAACATGAGCAACCTGAAACCATGCTTGGGAACGTGTTCGTGGGAACCGTGCTGGCAAACTATTGCTCGGAACCTTCCTAGAGAATTTGTTCTTGGAACCCGAACCTGTTCTTGGAACCTGTTCTTCGAACCCTTGCTTGGGAACCTGTTCTTGCGAAGCTTGCTTGCAAACCTGTCCTTGGGAACCTTGCTACCCTGCAAGGAAACCTGTTCTTGGAACCCTTGCTTGGGAACATGAGGCACTGTTCTTGGAGCCCTTGCATGTGAACCTGTTCTTGCGAACCTTGCTTAGGAAACTGGTCTTGCGAACCTTGCTTGGAAACCTGTTCCCAGGAACCTTGCCTGGAAACCCCTTGCTTGCGAACCTATGGGAACCTTGCCTGGGAACCTGTTCTTGGGAACCTGGCTTAGGAATCGTTCCTGGTAACCTTGCTTGCGAACCTGTTCCTGGAAAATTTGATTGGAAATCTTGTTCTTGCGGTGGGTGAAGACCCCAAGCTTACGCTGTTGGGGAAAAATGTTCCCAAGCAAGTTCCCAGGAAGAGGCTCCCAAGCAGGTATCCAGGAAGCGTTCCCAGGAAGAGCTGGTTCCCAAGCAAAATTTCCAGGAGCAACTGGGAACCCATGCTTGCGAACCTCTTCCTGGGAGCCTTGCTTGAGAGCCTCTTCCTAGCAACCTTGCTTGAGAAGCTGTTCCTGACATTCTTGCTTGGGAACCTTTTCCTGGAAACATTGCCTGGGAACTTTTTCCGGGAACCTTACTTGTGAACCTGTTCTTGGGAAACTTGTTTGGGAACCTGTTTCTGGGAACCTGTTGCTGGGAACCTTGCTTGGCAACCTCTTCCTGGGAACCTTGCTTGGGAACGTGCTTGGGAACCTTTCTTGTGAACCTGTTCTTGGGAACCTTGTATGGGCACCTGTTCCTGGGAACTTGTGGCTGGGAACCTTGCTTGGGAACCTCTTCCTGAAAACATTTGCTTGGGAACCAGCTTGCTGGGAACCTTGCTTGGACACCTCTTCCTGGAAACCTCTTCCTGGAAACACTTGTTTGGAAACTTGTTCTGGGAACTTTGTTCTGTTTGGAAAATATGTTCCTGGAAATCTTGCTTGGGAACCTTGCTTGGACACCTCTTCCTGGAAACCTCTTCTTGGAAACACTTGCTTGAAAACCTCTTCTGGGAACCTTGTTTGGCTTGGGAAAAACATGTTCCTGGAAATCTTGCTTGGGAAACGGTTCCTGAAAACCTTGAAAACGGTTGCTGAAATCCGTGCTTGCAAGACCTGGTATTCGAACCCTTGCTTGGGAACCTGTTCTTGCGAAGCTTGCTTGCAAACCTGTCCTTGGGAACCTTGCTTGGGAACCTGTTCCTGGAAACCTCTTCCTGGGAACCCTTGCTTGGGAACCTCTTCCTGAGAACCTTGCTTGGGAACCTCTTCCTGGGAAGCCTTGCCCTTGCTTGGGAACGTGTTCCTGGGAACCTTGCCTGGAACCTCTTGGGAGCCTTGCCTGGGAACCTCTTCCTGAAAACCTTCTTCTTGTTGGGAACCTCTTGCTGGGAACCCTTGCTTGGGAATCTGTTCCTGGTAACCTTGCCTGGGAACCTTGCTTGGGAACCTGTTCCTGGGAACCGCTTGCTGGGAACCTTTGCTTGGGAACCTGTTCCTGGGAACCACTTGGGAACCTTACTTGGGAACCTCTTCCTGGGAACCTTGCTTGGGAACCTCTTCCTGGAAACCTTGCTTGGGAACCTCTTCCTGCGACCGGTTCCTAACCTTGCGCCGTGCGGATTTGGCTGCTCCAAGGGATTCTCTTGGAAAAGGAAATCCTTCCTTGGAACCCGGTTCCCAACCTTGTGCCGTGCGGATTTGGCTGCTCCGGCCTGCTATGGCTGAAGACCCCAAGCTTACGCTGTTGGGGAAAAACATAAGATTGAAACATATTGGAAAAGTTGCAGAGGTGTCCGAAGATGCCGGGATTTCGTGGGATTTGCGTCGGGATTTTCACGCGAAGATCTTCACGAAGATGTGCCAGGCAGCTGGCGCCGCCCACCGGCCAACCGCGAGAATGCAGAATCCTGGCGGAAGGCGCAGCCCCCAGAGCGAAGGCCAATGAAGACAACGAAACACCAGCAACGAACGCATGAAATGCCCATGAAACATCATGAAACTGCTCAACTGAACCACAAAGAAGCCACGACAGATATCAGGCAACTCGCTCAGCTCCGAAGATTGGTTTTCAAATGCTTCAGAATGACATTGCGGCATGCAAATTCATTCACGGCTTGAAGCGAAAACAAAAAGATCAACATGAATCATTTTAGATGTTCACTTACTGTTGTTGGTTAACTACCTTTATGTATTTATTGAATTCAATCTATAACCTCATCGCAGTTGAATTTAATAAATTCAAAGGGCACAATTCTGACACTCCGTCAATGGCTTCAACGTACTTCTTGAAACGCTATATGGACTGTATATGGACGGTTAAAATTCAACAGACTTCAGATAATGAGTGCGATCACAACCACCATGACCATGATTAGTGTTCGCATGTGGTCACATGTGTTCGCATGGTATATGGCATACATATGGCATACTTACATGGCGTATTGCAACAACATGTTTGTCATGTGTCCTTCTGTTTCTTTTCGAGCACAGAGTAATGGAAAAAATCAAAATTATTTGACAACGGTGATCCTTTCCATCTTTTAGGTTTCCATCTTTTCCTGCTTGATCATCGATCGTTGTTATTTTTTCTCCGTTTCGTTCTTCGCGAAAGTCGTTACACGTTCAGGACGACGATGCCCGGGTGGAGCGGGCGCAGCGGGAGAGGTTGGCAGAGGAGAGACGCGGGGAAACCCAGAAGGACAGACCAGTTTGAAGTATAGTAATTAACAAATTGTTTGACTCATTAAGAAATATTGCTTTGTCATTCAAAATTTCAAAGCATAAATAGCGCTTAAGTTTAAGCCAGAGTTTTGAGCAAATTAAGTAATTTGCCATATATTATTTTGTTAAAATTGCTTAAATCTATTCCCACGGTCAAGTCTATTTGAAAATCCGAAATGTAAAAAAAATGTTGTTTTATTCTGAGTGTTTTTTGACATTTAGCACAAATGTAGAATTATTTCTTCATTTTTTCATATGGTCATGAAACGTGTTTGTTTATTCGTCAAAAATGCAGAAATAAATATCCCAATATCTCAAAAAAGGATATATGTTTATTCTTAGTACGCAATTTAAACATTATTGAATTCCCAATAGTCTATGTTTTATATCAATGTAACACATGCCAGCGGTGACCTAAGTAGAGCAGCATTGCTTGGAGTTAGCAGTCATGCCAGCACCCTCTTGCCCCTCTGGCCCCCCTCTCCCTGACTGGGTGATCGCCTCCCTTTCGCCGATGGGCCATTTAAGGAGGATATTTCACCGGTTTTGGGGGTGCGTTTAACCCCCGCTGGTTGGCAGGCGCGGGTCGAAATAAGAGGTGCTGCCGGAGGTCTCTTGACAAGGAGATTCTTTTTAGAGGGTTTGCGCGGATATCTTGACGAGATCTCTGACAGAGATCTTTAAGGGATCTCCTATAGAGACCTTGTGCACCGATCATGTTCAGAGATCTCGTAGATTGCTATGGGATCTCTTTCAAAGAGTTTGCGCCAGAGATCTTCTACAGCGATTTTGCCCATAGAGACCTTCACAGGGATTTTGTATAGAGGTGTCCTACAGAGATCTTACCAAGAGATGCTGTTCAGAGACCTTGTACAGAGATCGTTGGCAGAGACTTACCACAAAGATCTTGGCGAAGGGAACCAGGGTCTCTTGCTCAGGCTGTAGAAGATATCCTTACAAAGGGATCTTGCACAGCATCTTCTGCAGAAATCCTGCCGAGGAGATCTTGCGCACGATCTTTCACTGGTATCTTCACAAAGGGAACTTGCAGAATCTACCCTGGCATCTCTTCGTCGTGTTCTTTGCAACACTGTTTGGTGCCTATTGCCGGGACATGAATTTTCGAGATTAACTATGTCTGTTTACTTGTAGATCTCCTTACATCTGCTTACGTTTTATTTTCTAGTTCCTCTTGGGCATGCCTAGCATCTCCTACCTTTTGCATCCTTTTGTCCACCGCTTGGCCCTGAAAGCGTTCATTCGGCTTGACCAATTAGGCCCGCTTTTTTTAAAGACTGGTCAAGAAATTGTAGGAGCAATCACGAAACACATCAAGTCAATCTTACGAAGTGTAACAGTGTAATGCGCATTCACGCCTCGCATGCAGGGCAAGCCAGCAGCTAAAATGTAAATCTGTCCAATCCGAAAGTGTATAGTCGTGCACAGCTGTGCCAGGTGTTGCACGTCCTTGAAACCAACTGCGCTGGCTTTTGTAACTTTAGTTGCCTCCTTTTCCATTGACAGTTGCAACACATTTGCAGGTCACCAAGCTGAGCGCGAAGCGCGGGAACAGGCCGAACGTGAGAAACTCAGGTGATGGCTGAATGTGGTAACAAAGATAACAAAGTGGTATGAATGAACGTGGTTTGTTTTCTGACTTTGTTGCAGTTTGAGACAGTATGTATGCCACAGCACTGGGGCACGGTTGCGTGTGCAATTGGATGCAAACAGTATTCGTACGTTGCAGGACACGGGAGATTTGAAAGGCGACATGTCATGCAGCCACTGCATGAGATTCGGTTCAGGCCACAAGGCTAAACACTGGTACCAGCGGTTTGCTAAGCGTTGAATGACGCCTTGGCGTGCCGCATTTTTTTGACGAGCGATGACTTGATGACATGCAAAATCTTATCTACCAAAGTTTGGCTATCGATTTTCATACTCAGTTTGATCCTGCCTTATCTGCCTTGCAATTCTGCCGGAAAGTTTGCGGCCATGATGTGTCACCACCACCACATGTTGGGGCACGATAGATACGCAAACGTATACGATCAGAATTGGACAGCTAATCTCCATGCAGGGGCCTTTGCGTGTGAAATATATCAATTTATATCAATGTCCAAGAGTAATCACAAGGCCAAAGAGAAATGCCTTACAGAATCACATTTTGGGCAGATTCGTGTTGATTCTAAGAGGTTGTAATAGGATTTTAGGTTGAATTGCGTTGATGCGTCGTTTGCTCATTGCCAAGTTTTCTTCAAGCACCACTCTGCCTACTATGGTTGTTGCAGAAAGGCGTCCAATTCACTCTCTTCTGATAATTGTAGGCAAGAATGCAAAGAGCAAAGCAAGGATACCCGCAGTAAAAGCCTGACGTTAAGTGAAACTTTTGCATTTTAACGAGCAGGAGGCTGGAAACAAGACCTTCCATGTGTGAAGGCAGATGCAGCTATTGATAGGAAACAGTGCTCGTGGCTGCTCGTGAAAGAAGGAGTGGCACTTACCATTGATTATCATTGATTGCTATATCTTGCTATCGTTTGTCGATCTTGTCATTTTCTTGTGCAGATTTTGATCTTTGTGCCAAGGACAAGAGCGTTTGACGCGTGAAAGAGAGGAGAAACGCGCAGCAGAGGAGCTCGACAAGTTGCGATGCATGGTTTGCTTCAATCATGTCAAGGAGATTCTGAAGTTTCTGAAGTAGCAATAGTTTGCGCCGCTTACGCAGGAAGCCCGCCAACGGGAAGAGGATGAGCGTCAGACCCGCAGAGTTGCAATCGAGCACCATTTGGCTTTTCTCTTGGTACATTGCACATTTGCTACACCAAATATTCATTATGTACAATCAGCCAATCTCATTTGGCTGTAGCTACCAATTGCTGGATGACGCCGTTGGCAGAGTTTTCCAGCTTTCTTGTAATCTGGGCATTAATATTGGACCCGTGGGGGCTATTGAAGGGCAAGCGGATTAAGGTTTCACATGTGAGACGCACTAAGTACTGTACAATGAAATGGGAATATTAATCGCGGTACACTCGAACATGAACATCGCAATTTATAGAATAGAATACCTTAACATAATTTACTACTTGCAGGGATGGATTCTTCTCCTGAAGCTTGGACTCTTGTCCCACTGGAACTGTGGAAATGGCCCCTGCGGCTGGGTACTAGCTGATGTGAATCCAGCTGGAAGCGGCATGCTTGACAAGGGAATGCAATAAAAAAAGCCGTGGTACAATATCAAAGGGTTTAACATCACAGAAAATTCGAGGTGACCCGGCATACAAATGATTTCCGACACCACTTCGTATCATCACCAGTTCACATAATGACCAGCTCACATCATCACCAGCTCACATCATCACCATGTCACAGCACCATTTGCAACTCTGTCAGACTCTGCACAGCGGAAGTGCTGCGTGAGTGTGAGATTTGATAGGCAAATCGTCTGAGTGGTTTGTGAAAGGCAGGATCGCTTGCGCCGCTTGTTGGCCTCAACGGGTTGATGTAAAAACGATCTCGAGCTGCAAGTGCAGTGTTAGGCCAGCTTGTCGTCAAGATTTATTTGCTACATTTTACTACTGCAATGCCATCTGATGCCCTTGTGTTTGGCAAGTGCATGGTCACTTTGTGCACGGAAACTGCCGGGTGGAAGTGACTTTAGTTGAAATCCGTGCTCTTGCGCCTTCATGTTTCTCAAGTCCATGCGTCTTCCACAATTGACCTACTGTGTCAAGGTGAGGATTGCCGTTTGCGGTTGCCACTCGCTGTCCACTTGCTGCGTCAAAATGATGGTTGAAGTATGCAGGTGTGCTGCTGCTACTGTGTTTCTGCAATCCGGCGCTTACATTGTGCTAGAGAATTTGTGTGCCAAGACGGCTGTAGACAAAGCGTCAAGAAAAGCACATGGCACGGCCAAGGAAAAGAGGTCTCAGGCGAAAGAAGTATCAAGAGAAAGAGATGTCAAGAAAGAGGCATATCAAGAAAAAGAGATGTCAAGAAAAGGAATGCCGAAAGAAAGGGAGGTTAAAAAAAGAGACACGCCGAGAGAAAGAGATTTCACAGAGACATAAACCGATGTCAGGAAAGCGACATGCCGAGAGAAAAAGACGCCTGAAGGAAAAAAAACATGCCAAGAGAAAGAGAGACATCAAGAAAAAGATGCTTCAAGAGAAAGAGATTTCAAGGAAAAGGCATGCCGAGAGAAATGGATGTCAGGAAAGAGACATGCCGAGAGAATAAGCGACCTCAAGAAAAGGACATGCCAAGGGAAAGAGAGATGTCAAGAAAAAAGATGCCAAGACTTCAAGAGAAAGAGATTTCAAGGAAAAGGCATGCCGAGAGAAACGGATGTCAGGAAAGAGACATGCCGAGAGGACAAGAGACCTCAAGAAAAAGACATGCCAAGAGAAAGAGAGTCGCCAAGAAAAAGATGCCAAGACTTCAAGAGAAAGAGATTTCAAAGAAAAGGCATGCCGAGAGAGACGAATGTCAGGAAAGAGACATGCCGAGAGAAAAAGAGACCTCGAGAAAAAGACATGCCAACGCGGAGAGAGATGTCAAGAAAAAGATGCCAAGACTTCAAGAGAGAGATTTCAAAGAAAAAGGCATGCCGAGAGAAACGGATGTAAGGAAAGGGACATGCCGACAGGACAAGAGACCTCAAGAAAAAGACATGCCAAGGGAAAGAGAGATGTCAAGAAAAAAGATGCCAAGACTTCAAGAGAAAGAGATTTCAAGGAAAAGGCATGCCGAGAGAAATGGATGTCAGGAAAGAGACATGCCGAGAGAATAAGAGACCTCAAGAAAAAGTCATTCCTTAAGGGAAAGAGAGACGTCAAGAAAAAGATGCCAAGACTTCAAGAGAAAGAGATTTCAATGAAAAGGAATGCCAAGAGAAACGGGAGGCAGGAATGAAAAGGAAAGGGACATGCCGAGAGAAAAAGATACCTTAAGAAAAAGACATGCCAAGAGAAAGAGTGACGTCAAGAAAAAGATGCCAAGACTTCAAGAGAAAGAGATTTCAAGGAAAAGGCATGCCGAGAGAAATGGATGTCAGGAAAGAGACATGCCGAGAGAATAAGAGACCTCAAGAAAAAGACATGCCAACGCGGAGAGAGATGTCAAGAAAAAGATGCCAAGACTTCAAGAGAAAGAGATTTCAAGGAAAAGGCATGCTGAGAGAAACGGATGTCAGGAAAGAGACATGCCGAGAGGACAAGAGACCTCAAGAAAAAGACATGCCAAGAGAAAGAGAGTCGCCAAGAAAAAGATGCCAAGACTTCAAGAGAAAGAGATTTCAAAGAAAAGGCATGCCGAGAGAGACGAATGTCAGGAAAGAGACATGCCGAGAGAAAAAGAGACCTCGAGAAAAAGACATGCCAACGCGGAGAGAGATGTCAAGAAAAAGATGCCAAGACTTCAAGAGAGAGATTTCAAAGAAAAAGGCATGCCGAGAGAAACGGATGTAAGGAAAGGGACATGCCGACAGGACAAGAGACCTCAAGAAAAAGACATGCCAAGAGAAAGAGAGTCGCAAAGAAAAAGATGCCAAGACTTCAAGAGAAAGAGATTTCAAGGAAAAGGCTTGCCGAGAGAAACGGATGTCAGGAAAGAGACATGCCGAGAGAATAAGAGACCTCAAGAAAAAGACATGCCAACGCGGAGAGAGATGTCAAGAAAAAGATGCCAAGACTCCAAGAGAAAGAGATTTCAAGGAAAAGGCATGCCGAGAGAAACGGATGTCAGGAAAGGGACATGCCGAGAGAAAAAAGATACCTCAAGAAAAAGATTTGCCAAAGGAAAGAGAGTTGCAAAGATCAAGATGCCAAGACTTCAAGAGAAAGAGATTTCAAGGAAAAGGCATGCCGAGAGAAACGGATGTCAGGAAAGAGACATGCGGAGAGAAAAGGGACCTCAAGAAAAAGACATGCCAAGAAAAATAGAGATGTCAAGAAAAAGATGCCAAGACTTCGAGAGAAAGAGATTTCAAGGAAAAGGCATGCCGAGAGAAATGGATGTCAGGAAAGAGACATGCCGAGAGAATAAGAGACCTCAAGAAAAAGACATGCCAAGAGAAAGAGAGTCGCCAAGAAAAAGATGCCAAGACTTCAAGAGAAAAATATTTCAAGGAAAAGGCATGCCGAGAGAGACGGATGTCAGGAAAGAGACATGCCGAGAGAAAAAGAGACCTCAAGAAAAAGACATGCCAATGGGGAGAGAGAGAGAGAGAGAGATGTCAACGAAAAGGTACCAAGACTTCAAGAGAACGAGATTTCAAGGAAAAGGCATGCCGAGAGAGACCGATGTCAGGAAAGGGACATGCCGAGAGAAAAAGATACCTTAAGAAAAAGACATGCCAAGAGAAAGAGTGACGTCAAGAAAAAGATGCCAAGACTTCAAGAGAAAGAGATTTCAAGGAAAAGGCATGCCGAGAGAAATGGATGTCAGGAAAGAGACATGCCGAGAGAATAAGAGACCTCAAGAAAAAGACATGCCAACGCGGAGAGAGATGTCAAGAAAAAGATGCCAAGACTTCAAGAGAAAGAGATTTCAAGGAAAAGGCATGCCGAGAGAAACGGATGTCAGGAAAGGGAC